TTTCCTAGAAAATGCTGTTTAAAATTTCTGTAATATCCCATGGTTCCTATAAAGCCTCGTTACCTGTCTTCACTTCTTTGGCTCAGGCATTTCTCCATCATTTATTTATCCATGTCAGGCTTAATTCTTTCATCACTTCTTAAAGTGGACACTTGGTTTCATTTCTTAAAATTGGCACTTTAGTTTCAACTCAATCCGTGCCTTCTTAATCGTCCAAAAACTTGTCTTCGATGGTTAAAATGTTGTTCTGGTGTCTCTGAGAATACCAGAGTATCGTCCAGGTAAGCCATAGCAAAAAATCTTAATTCTTCCCAGTACTATTGACATCAATTGCTGAAAAATTCCAGGTGCATTGGTCAGGCCAAATGACAACCTTGAATTGGAACAGGCCCATGTGAAACATGTAAATTCAGCCAACTCTAACAGCCTTATCAAGGGCACCTGCCAATAAATGGACCTTAGATCTATCGTTGAAAAGTTTATTTTCTCAACAAAAAATATATCGTCAGTCAATGGCAAGGGAATAATGGTTTTAAACAGATCCAGTTTCCTGAAATATACCCAAAATCTGTGCCGCCATCCTTTTTATCTACCACCACTATGGGGAAGCTCCAAGGGAGACTTTGACCTTTTATCATGCCCGTCTCCAACATATCCTTCACTGCTTCCTCGACTAAGGGTCTTTTATGAATAGGTGTTCTGTAAGGCGTTAGCTTAATTGGAGAGTGATCACCTGTGTAATTCTTTCATTTCTATGGTGTGAGTTTGGCCCAATTCTTCATCCGACTTAGCCACCACATCAAATGCTGGTCCTCAACAGATCCCATCCTTTGGCCCCTCAGGAGCCATTATTTCTTCATCTGTTATACCGTCTATCCGCTTTTAATTCTCGTTTTTCTTTTTATTTAACCTTTTCGCTGCATGGTCCTCAAGGGTTAAGGCTTTCCTCCATCCCAGGTTTACTTAACTGTCCTGTTGGCTTCGTTCACCAACATCATGGCAGTATTTCTGTCGCATTCACTATTGTTTCGCACATAACTACTTCGTTTTTCTTCAGGTCTATCCTCTTCTCAGGAACTAATTGAATGATCCCCCTCTTCCACCCTTCTCCGTCATCAGTCTTCCTGTGCCTGATACTGCAGTTCTAGAAGGTAGTTTTATATCTTCTTCTGCCACTACTGTTATACATTTGTCAGGTGAATCTCCCAAGGGCATCTTTACGCCATCCACTACCAATACAGTAGGATTAAATTCAATTCCAGCCCTATGTTTATGCAGCCAATCGTCTCCTAAAATCATCCCTGCACAAAGTTCGGGGGTCACATAGAACCTCTGGATGCTCCGTGTTCCTCCTACTTTTAATGGAAGTTTCACCATTCCCTTTATCCGCTTGGGTGATCTCTATATCAGGTTTTCTCATCCATCCCCGATACCTCAGTTTCCTATACACTATTTTCCCCTCAATAATGACACTGACGCTCCAGTGTCTATTAAGGCTTTCACTGCTGATCCCCACCCTACCACTACCTCACAAGAGCTCCCCCCCTCTCTCTCCTGTGTCAGCAAATAGAATATCTTAGCTCTTTTTCTATTTTGTTTTCCGACCACCCAGCCATGGGTGCTGGTAGTAGTAGTCCTTCATTAGTGTTACTACGGGGTCTTCCTTTTATTTTGTCTCCATATCGAGGCTCCTCAGAATCTTTCTTGATTCTGTCATTTTAATTCTGTAGGGGCAGTTTCTCTTCAGGTGCCCTGGTTTCCCACAAAACCAGCACCTTCTACTTGGGCAATTTACTTCAAAATAACCCACCTGCCTGCACTCCCAGCAACACATTCTTCTTCCATTTATACGGGCCATCCACCCTCTTATTTCTTGGGGTGGCCCTTTGGCGTTTCCTGGTTCGACTTTCCAGGTCCCATCTTTGCCTTTCGTATCTGTGGGGCCCCCTTCTTCAACCTGCACCATTTAGCCATATTCCCCCTACCTCCGCATCTCGTGCATTTTTCTTCCTCATGAGCTGGGAGCAGCCCTCACCTTGTGAGGCAGTTTGCCGCACGGTGGCTCTCATACTGGCACTTCCAACACACCAAGTCATATCTACCCGGCGTGGGTTTATAAAACCCGTGCTTTAGGGACCACACCTTTCTTCTGGGGTCCTCCTCCCATTCCTCTTCTCCTTCGTCATTCAGTACTGGGGAATTCCTTTTGCTTCCTTGTTTGACATCTTTCTTCCACCTAGTGTTCTTTCTTACGTTCCTCTGCTTATCTATCTCCCGACCTAAAATCCTGTGCCCTGCTATTCTTTACTTTATTCCAAACATCCTGGCTCTCTTTAGCCAGTGCCACAGCTGCTGCCAACCTAACGGGGTCCTCTTTTAACACGTCATGTCGGATACGCTCATCTTGGAGCGCTCCAATATACAGGTCCGCCAACTGGGCCTGGATCGCCTCATTCTCTCTAACTTCTTCGGGGAAAGCCAGAGAGGCTAGTCTCTCTGCTCTCTTCCCCAGTTCTTCTGGTCTCTCATTTCTTTCTTGGACCAGTTTCATGAGGCCTCTCATGGCCTCTATTGCCGTACCCTCATCTGTATATTCTGCTATTAATAGTTCCTCTAAGACCCTCCACGTTAACTGTGAATCACACTTTAATAGTTTACCAATAAATTCTGACGGCCCTCCTGTCGCAGAGTCGAACGCAACGCATACCGTCTCTCTTTCAGTCAATTCATAGATCAATTGACTTTTATTAACCGCCGCTAGCCAGGCCCTCAGTTCTCCCGCATCTCCCCCAAAACTCGGAACTCTGGGCCCCCCTAGTAGACTCCTCAACTTAGTGGACATACGTTGTCCAACCTCGTCATTCTCCACCTCCGCCATCCCAATTTCCCCTTCCCCGCGGTCAGACATTTAAATAAATTCAGAGAAAAATCAATCTATAAACGAAGGAAATCGATTGCGGAAATGGCAAGCAACAACAAATCGAAAAAAATTTCAGAGAGAAACCAAAAAGTGTCCTACCTTTAAACTGGCTCCGGGTTGGTCTCACTTCGACTACTGGACGACGAAAATTTCTTCTTTCTTTTTTTTCTTTCTTTTTTTATGAGCGTTTCGAACCTAATGGTCAAAAATGACCAAAGTCACTTCGGTTCAATCGGAGGTTATTCCGTTGGTCACCGCACCAATTTATGTGGCCATTCAGGGTCAAATCCTGGGTCACGGCAACCAAATTATGACGGCGTACACGGGGCACGGCCTGCTGTCTTTGGGTGAGGTCCGATCCTGGTATCGGACAACAAGACGTCTGTCCCCACTCGTCGGTCGTTGATGGCGTTTAACACAGCAACTGGTCTTTAAGTTGACCTCTTCAACTATGACCTCTCTTACCCACGTTGTGATTTTTCATCTTAAGAGGGTCAAGCCAAATTATCACTTGGATATCTCAACCAAGATAAACCAACGAGTTGAATACGCGCACACAAAATTGAAAAATAAAATAGACGACGCCTGAATAAGTCACTGTATGGTGTTTATATCAAAATAAAAGAAAATATTTACAGTTCTTTTTTTTTCTTCTTCTTTTTCCAACCCGTTCCTAATATTTGGCGACGGAACGAAAATTTCGGGTAACTTCTTTAAGAGTGGCCAGACTTGACAAGTGGATTTAACTTCAAGTACTGTGGTTTGTACTTTCAAGAACGGCACAAGGCTTGTCGTCGGAGTCTTTCTTCAGCGACAACTGGATTTAACTTCAAGTACTGTGGTTTGTACTTTCCAGAACAGCACACGGTTATTGTCGGAGTTTTTCTTCAGCAAAAGATAATTATTATTATTATTATTATTATTAGGTTGGCAAAACAGCGATATGGCAAAAAAATCTCTTAACTCTCCGGCCGCGGCTTCTGCAACTACGGACCGAAACCTCATCTCCAACTATCTCCAATTCCATCTAATTTGGCCCCGTGGGCAATTGCATTTATGGGTGTTCCTTCCGACTGGTGTGGTGCGGGCGAGTAGGTTTGTTCTTATGCAAATCTCTTTCTGTCGTTTTTTTTTTTTTTTTTTCACACTTCCAATTTTGTAAGATCTCCTCCTCTTTCGGGAGGAGCCATTATATGACGTCAGCCATCCTAATGTCAACTTCTGCCTTTACAATTGGTCATTTTGTTTTCACATTTATAATTTTTTTTTCAGGGAAATTTTGGATGATAATTTTGTCAGCACGTATACATCGGACACCATTCAAAAGACGACCTTAACCTCTGGCCTCTGATTCCTGAACCTCTTCGCTGTCTCTCGCCAGGCAGCGACAATAGCATTCTGTATATTCTTTTCAACAAAATTCATACATCTGTTCCCAATGCCATGGGAAAATAAGTCTCTCTCTGACGAAAAATAAAATCGTTTTCTTAACTCTTTTCGTTCGTACGCCATGTTAAATGTTGTTACACATCCGTTGTTTCCTGTTTAGGATTGGGTTTCCGGTTGCATCAAGAATCTACTTCAATTCTGTACTTCTAACGTCTCCGAGTGAGCACTGATATTTTATTCACTAATTGTTTATTTATTTTTTCTTCTCCACAATACGATAGATGGGTTCGCTTATTGTCCGGTTCACGCTCCTCCCCGATATTTTGAGCAGGAGTAGATGTTTATCCGTTGTTTCCTGTTTAGGATTGGGTTTCCGGCTCCATCTAAAGTTTACTTCCGCTCAATACTTCTAACGTCTCATATTGAACTCTGAAATGTTATTTACTATTTAAATCTTGACTTCTTCATATCTAGAGTTTTACTTATTGTCTTTTCTTTAGCGAATACAACACCACACATCAACGCTCTACCTTGAGTGACTCTTCGGCCTTGTATTGGGTAACCATTACTAAAATAAAAGCACGCTTCGATATTGTACGTTGGCGTACTCGTGGCTTTTGTATGAAGAAAGGAAAAGCACTAATACATTTCCTTTCCGCTTGTTCCGTCTTCTTTTTCCCCTCTATATTGAATGAAGCACTGGACTAAAAACCTTAGCCGAACAGCCACCATTGCTGGCTTCACTCGTTCTCGTCGTGTCATCGACCTTCTCCTTCTCCTCCTCCTCCTCCTCCTCCTCCACCACCACCACTCCGTTTCTCCACGCCAGCACCTTATTTTTCTTCAACGAAATAGTCCCGCTTCCATGCCAAATGATAGACTGGCAGGGGAGTCAGCCACACTGGAAGTACAACAATGGTTGACGGTCGGGTAGAGGAGGCGGGAGAAAAGAGACACTGACGGACAGACAGTACGCTTCTACTAACCCGTTGCCCACCCGACCTGCTACAGTCGTTGCCCTACGTTCACATCCTGATGACTGTGTGAGGTCGCCATCGAAAAGTATTTTATTTACCACGTTTTTTCTTTCATTCAGTGCGTGAGATAGCCTGCCTTTTTTTGTGTGTGTGTATATCGGTGGGTGCTTTTTCTTTCTTTTTTTTTGCTGGGCATCTGAAAACCTTTCTTATCACAAAGCTCCTTGTCTAGCCTTGACTGCCGCTCTCTGAGGTGGCTAGCTATCATCATAGTTGAGTCTTAAGACAGACCGTTCTTTTCTTTTTTTTTAATTTTATTCGGTTCTCACCTTCTCTCTTACCATTTTGATTTAATTACCCTTTTCTTTCTCTCTCTCTCTCTCTCTCTCTCTGTTCTTTTATGTTCTTTCTGTTTCCTTCCTTGAGTATTTTTCCTTTCCTTTTCCCAGCCTAGGTCGTCAGTGAAACTGAGGAAGTGTTGATGGTAACAAATGAAGAAGGAAGAAGTTGCCTCCTTGTACTGTTTACCTGTTAGCATGGGCACCAGTGCTTTGTGTCTGTGTGCTAGCTTTAGCATCATCACCACCACTACAACGACGACGACTGGCGCTACGAGCACTTGTTCTATAGCCGACTACTATTACTATAACACAGTTCATTCATTCATTATTACTACTATGATCCTTGGTACTTGTTTCTCTTGGTCTTTTGGCTATTCTGTTATTATTTTCTTCATCTTTTGGTAGACAAATGACATTTTTGTGTGCGAGACAAATTGTACTGTAAAAACACTTGTTATTGTCTTGCATACATTGTAAAACATTCTTCTGTCATGAAATGCGTGTGTGTGTGTGTATGTGTGTGTGTGTTTTTCTTTTATAGATGTAGTATGGATATTACTAGTCTGCCAAGAGGTACGTTTGGGGGGTGCTGTCCAGTACTATAAAAGGACGGATCAAATAAGTCAGCTTCATTTTTGGCTTTCATTTTTGTTGCAAAACATTGCAGCGTCAACGCGAGTCTTGCCTCCGCTGGGAAAATTTCTAAACCACCACCCTACCCCTTGACGTACATTTACTAGAGGTGTGTGTATGAATGAGTGATTCAGAGAGAGAGAGAGAGAGGTGGGGGACTGACTGACTATTTGCGTGACATAGCCATCATACACAAATTCCCTAATAGCAAAACCATAAGTGTTTCCTTTCATTTCGACTATTTGTGTACACACTAGTATATTTTCTATCTCTTATTGTCATATATATATATATATATATATATATATATATATATATATATATATGATGAAAAAAATATACGGAAAAAACAAACAAAAATCCTAATATGCAATTATGCTGTTTTAATGTTAGAACTCGTTAGGTAAATAATCCAAAGTCCCTTAGTATTTTAGTTATTATTTTTAAAAAATAGTGCTCAATACAAAAGTAGAGCATAAATATAATTAAACTTCAATTTAAAGGATTATATTGGAGTTTTTTCGGTTCTTCATTTTAAAACATTATATTGGAGTATTTTGCGATCTGGAATCATATTTTTAAATAAATAATTATATATATATATATATATATATATATATATATATATATATAATTTTTGTATTTGTAGGTCTGATGAATTGGATCGTGATTACGATTCCAGTGTATTAAATTATAACCATGGAATATTAGTGTTTCAGCCTTTTTATGCTATATTCTTACCCTGTCTTGTACATTGACCTCTACCGAGATTCTATCCTCTTGGAAATATATATATATATGTAATATAATATAAAAAGCCCAAATACTAATATTCCATGGTTATAATTTATTACATTGTAATCGTAATAGGTCTGATGAATTGGATCGTGATTACGATTCCAATGTAATAAGTTATAACCATGGAATATTAGTGTTTGAGCCTTTTATATTATATTCTTACTCTGTCCTGGACATTGAGTGCTACCTGGATTCTATCCTCTTGGGAATATATATATATATATATATATTATAAATTAATTGATTTAAAATCAATTAATTTATAATATTAATGCTCTGTAAATTTACATTGAGCACTATTTTGTAAAAATAAAATATCTATAAGAACACCGGATTTTATATCTTACTGTTCTTTCTTTTTTTATATACATATATATATATATATATATATATATATATATATATATATATATATATATATATATATATATATATATATTTATTTATTTTATGAAAAACGAGGTAATCCGTATGGGTAGACCCAAGGAGGATAAAATCCAGAGAGCTCAATGTAAATCCAGAACAAATAATTTAAATAAAAACAGACCACTTTAAGGTTCCATGTAATAAATTATTTCACCACAGCCCTTTTAAAGGACTGCGGATCATCAGACTTTACTTGCAAAGGTTGGAACGAATATATATATATATATATATATACATATAAGGTAAGAGAAGGTAAAAAGAACTGTATTATGCTCGTTAAACTTATTACTAACTTCTTTTTTCTCTCTTCTACCCTGTTTCTTTCTTTCTTTCTTTCCCTGTTTTCTTTCTTTTTTTTTTCTTTTTTTCCCTTCTTTCTTTCTTTCTTTCTTTCTTTCTTTCTTTCTTTCTTTCTTTCCCTGTTTTCTTTCTTTCTTTTTTCTTTCTCTCCCTGTTATCTTTCTTTCTTTCTTTCTTTCCCTTCTTTCTTTCTTTCTTTTTTCTTTCTTTCCCTGTTTTATTTCTTTCTTTCTTTCTTTCTTTCTTTTTTCTTTATTTCCGTTTTCTTCCTTTTCCTTCTTTTTTTCTTTTTTTCTTTCTTTCTTTCTTTCTTTCTTTCTTTCTTTCTTTCCCTGTTTTCTTTCTTTTTTTTTTCTTTCTTTTTCTTTTTTCTTTCTTTCTTTCTTTCTTTTTCTTTCTTTCTGTCCTGTTTTCTTTCTTTCTTTTTTCTTTCTCTCCCTGTTATCTTTCTTTTTTTTTAACAAGGAAAAGATTCTTTCTTTCTTTTCTTTCTTTTTTTTTTTCTTTCTTTCCCTGTTTTTCTTTCTTTCTTTCTTTTTTTCTTTCTTTTTTTTTTCTTTCTTTTTTCTTTTTCTTTCTTTCCCTGTTTCTTTTTTTTTTTCTTTCTCTCCCTGTTATCTTTCTTTTTTTTTCTTTCCCTTCTTTCTTTCTTTCTTTTTTTTTTCTTTCTTTCCTGTTTTTTTTTTCTTTTTTTTCCTCCCTGTTATCTTTCTTTCTTTCTTTCTTTCTTTCTTTTTTCCTTCTTTCTTTCTTTCTTTCTTTCTTTCTTTTTTTTCTTTCTTTTTTTTTCTTTTTTTGTTTTTCTTTCCCTTTTTTATTTCTTTCTTTCTTTTTCTTTATTTCCGTTTTCTTCCTTTTTCTTTCTTTCTTTTTTTCTTTCTTTCTTTCTTTCTTTCTTTCTTTCTTTTTTTCTTTTTTCTTTTTTTTTTTTTTTTTTTTCTTTCTTTCTTTCTTTCTTTCTTTCTTTCTTTCCTGTTTTCTTTCTTTCTTTTTTTTCTTTCTCTCCTTTTATCTTTTCTTTCTTTCTTTCTTTCTTTTTTTTCCTTTCTTTTCCCTTTTTCTTTCTTTCTTTTTCTTTCTCTCCCTGTTATCTTTCTTTTTTTCTTTCTTTCCCTTCTTTCTTTCTTTCTTTCTTTTTTCTTTCTTTCCCTGTTTTCTTTCTTTCTTTTTTCTTTCTCTCCCTGTTATCTTTCTTTCTTTCTTTCTTTCTTTCTCTTCTTTCTTTCTTTTTTCTTACTTTCCCTGTTTTCTTTCTTACTTTCTTTCTTTCTTTCTTTCTTTCTTTTTTCTTTATTTCCGTTGTCTTCCTTTTCCTTCTTTCTTTCTTTCTTTTCTCTGTTTTCTTTTTCCCTGTTTTCTTTCTTTTTTCTTTTCCTTTGTTCTGCTTTCCTTCTTCCCCCCTCGTGTTTTCTTTCTTTTCTTTCCGTTTTTCTTTTCTTTTTTCCCCTGTTTTCCTTTCCCCTTTTTTCTTTCTTCTCTTCATGATAAATATATATTTATTTGCTTTTCTTTTAACCTATACATCTTATATACATAGATAAAAGGTTGTATTAAGGAAACGTTTCGGAGTCTTTTTATATTTAATTCTTTTCTTGTGGTTAAGCAATTTTCTTCTTTCTCTAAATTGTAATGGATTTATTTTTATTACTTAATCTTAAAAATAAATTGTCAACAATCATTATCAAGAGAAGGTAAAAAGAATTGTATTATGCTCCTTAAACTTATTACTAACTTCTCAACATGTTGTTAAAGGCCTAAAAAAATATTCCCAACTTCAATTGTTTCAGTCATTTATGTGCCATGCGTGATCCACATTTTGGCGATCATGTATCTTTCGATACGTGATTCACGAGGCAGATTTTTCCCGTAGTAGTTTGCCTTTTCTTTCTGCGGTAGACCAGTTGCCACCCAAGGGTATAGAACCCGATCTGTCCTGCTATTTACCAATAGCTGGAGGGGGAGGGGAGAAGAAGAGGATTCATACTTTTTCCAAGGGTATTAGCACGTATGGATTCGAATGGAATTCGAACTCGGCTCTCCGATTCCTCAATCCGAGTCGCTATCCATAACTCCACCGAGCCTACCAAACATATTATTTGAGAAAAAAGTTAAGAGTAATCTCCCTTTCATAGATTTTATTTTTATTCCAATAATTTTTAATTTTTTTGTATTTCAATTTATTTCGATGCTATGTCTTTTCATGGCGTAAGCGATCACGGCTCTCTACATTTTCTTTCTCTTTATTATCTGAATGGTCATAATTTATGTATATATATATAAGGAAGAAATTGGTACAAAAAGAATAATGCTTCTTTTAGTAGTGGATATGGAAGAAATTCCAGAAAAAATTGCATATTATTCTGAAAGGAGAGAAGTAGTTGTCAGGTTCATCCTTTTTGTTCATAGTAGTTGCCGTAATTATTTCACGATCAGGATATAAGGAGGGTTCACTGGCAGTATTGTGCCAATATTGCAGATAACCTGAGTTCACTTACTCCCCTTATTATTGAGATCAAAATAGGCAGAAATCATAAAATAAGACTCAACAACAAATTCATCCTTTTTGTTCTTAGTAGTTGCCGTAATTATTTCACTATCAGGATATAAGGAGGGTTCACTGGCAGTATTGCGCCGATATTGCAGATAACTTGAGTTCACTTCCTTCCTTATTACAACAGCAAGCGGACGCTTTCACTCTCACTGCCTATCTCTCTCGACTTCGATTTCTTGTCAACTCACTTCACCCAGCTCCAATTCTAACTTCGACTGTTTGTTTTCGCACAAGCACGCGATTAAATAAATGCGGCGGTAGCGACAAAAACCCGAGGTGTTCGTAAACTTAGAATACAACCCGGTTACTGACGTCTCCCTATTCATGATTAAATAGAAAGTCTCTTCTTCTCAACTGGTATTCCATAGTTCATATA